TGCGCCGCAATCTGCTATAATAGCAGCCGCAAGCGCAAAAGAGTGAACCGGGCGCAGGTCTCCGGACCCTAGGGTCCGAGGGTGTCAATTCACCGATAAATCCTCCAAAAGGAGGAATAACCCCGCCCGAGGCGATTATCCGACCCCCGAAGGGTCCCGGGTGAAGCCAAACGCCGTAGGGTTGTACTTCATAAAAGCTGCAATATCCCCAAGGAAGCGGGGGTAATGCACTGAGTAACGATCGCGACAGCGAAAGAGAATATGCTGGCGGGACTGCAAGGCAGCCCCGCAAGTGCAGCCGTGAGGCTCATTGATCTTGAAGCGTCGGTAGTACGCTCCAATGGGCGTGGCCAGTTATACACCGGCAAACGCGGGCGAACTCAGTGATACTGTGTCCGAAGGTTGAAAGCCAAGGTCCCCCATTGAGGTACGATGGCTGTAGCGGCCGCCCGTCAGGCTGTTGAAGCTCTAGGAATTCAGAGCCTCGGTAGGTTGGATCTTGGAAAGTGGAACTCCACGAATCCAAGACTGAGTGCGCAGCTCGAGAGCGAAGCGCGTCTATGGAGTTGTCCGTCTTGCGACGCCCAACCCTGACTTTGAGTTCGGTGACGTACTTGTGTGCTTCACCATGGATATCCCACCGCATAGCGGAAGGGACGTAGACGAAGGTAATGCGATGGAGATCATCCGCCTCAAACCACTCTTGAAGAGCGCAACATACTGACAGACTAAAAGCCTGACCAGAATGCACGCCGGGGTCAACCGCTCTATGGGCTGAGCCCATAGAGTCAGTGAAGACCATAATATGCTGGCAGTTTGCCTGCTTGACAGCAAGGCGCACTGCACACGAGATGGCATTAAGTTCCGCATCTGGGGCGGTAACTCTGCCAGAGACATAACGAGTCCTCTCGAGCTCGCGATGTCCCTTGTAGATTATAGCAGCTGAAGCCGCCTGATACTGGTTGGACTGAGGGACAGAGCCATCAGTTGCAGCCAGTACTGTTAGTGGGTCGGCCCTCGCTCTCGCGATGAGCTCGTCTAGATATGGGCGCCTATCCTGGGTAGGATCGCGCTCGTCAAGGTGGATACGGTCTGCATAGCGGTCCAGTAACCGATCCCCTGGGCGAGCTTCGGGCGCAAAAGGTTCGAAGCTCTCAGTTAAGGTGTGGACGCGCTCGTCCACTTCCATGACAGTGCTCTTGACTTTCCCCCGCATGGCTGGGGTCATCAAGGCGGCAGAGCGAGCGTGTGGTGCAGCTCGCTTGAGAAGTCCCTCGCCCATCATAGAGCGAAGGGGGTGAGTGTCTGAGAGGGTGGCGACGCGATACACTGCACGCGTTGCCAGCTTCTTCAGCATAAGATGGACAGGAATGAGGCCCGCTAGAGCCTCAAGACCGCCTGTAGGTGAGGTGCGGAAGGCACCCGTGATCCATAGAGCAGCTTTACGCTGCATCCGTTTCAACTGGTTCATCGCACCCTTGTTGCGGGCGCCATCGAAATACCAGAGACGATAGCCGTATGTGGCAATGGGAACCACACACGACCGATATAAGAGGCGGCGCTGTTTAGGTGAGAGACCTCTAGTAGAGTTCCCGAGCATGCGCATGGCCTGCACGGTGGTGAACGCCTTGGTGGCGTAGTAGCGAACGTGCTCATGGAAGGTGAGCCCGCGGTCAAAGTAGAAGCCCAAGTACCTCCAATAGGTCTTGGGCTTCAAGGGTGTAGCGCCGGTATGTGGGGCGTACCCCAAATCCAGCGACGGATTGTAGGCGTCTCGTCGACGCGAGAAATGAAACAGCTCGGTCTTGTCGTGTTCAAGAACGAGCGCGAAGGCAACAAAGAGAAGGTAGATAATTTTGTAGGCCTTACGCAGGCCCACATTATTATCATCGAGTTGCTTGGATTGGGCCCAGGAGAGCAGTATTCAAATATGTCAATCGATGCAATAAAGGCACATGCCTTGGAACATCTAGTTAAAAATGGACATATCATGTTTGTTGGGCATTCAAAGAATCCTCTCAGCTTGTTCAACAACCCTCAGCTATTTCCCTCAATGATGCCATGGCTTTTTCCATATGGTTATGGTGGTATTGGCCAGATTTGTCTTAAAGGCAAAGACTCTCAGTTAACTCAGAAAGGGCACATGTTGTTATATCATGACAAGCACTTCCAGCTTGATCCCAACTTCCCTCTCATAGCATTCAATCAGGAGCAAATTCAGCAGAGTTCATGAGGCAGCTATCTCACAGCAGACAAGGCTTTCTTTCCTGAAGTTGCTGACCAGCTTTTACGCATCAATCCATCTATCTTGACCAATATCAGTCAGCAGTTGTCTCAAGGCGAGAGAGTCAAACCAGAATCAGAGGCCAAGAAGGCTTGCTTTCAGCTTATTAATGACCTGGACTGTGTAGGCGGACATGTTGAAGGCTCACTGGCTAGCAAAAAGCACATGCGGAATGAAATATGGTCGCTCATCTCCTACATGGGTTGTCCATCCTGGTTCATTACTCTGTCTCCAGCTGACAATAAGCATCCGATATGCTTGTATTTTGCAGACCATAATATTGAATTCAAGCCAGAAATTCCCTTGCCTGATGATGCATACCGCCTCATTGCTAGCAACCCAGTTGCAGCTGCACGCTTCTTTCATTTCATGTGCAAGAATTTTATCAAGCATGTTCTTAGAGTCGGTACAAAACATCCTGGACTGTATGGAAAAACCAATGGCTACTATGGAACTGTCAAACAGCAGGGACGCCTTGCTCTGCATCTTCATCTCCTTCTCTGGATCAAAGATTCTTTGTCACCTCAGGAGATCCGTAAACATATTATGGATAATACCTCTGACTTTCAGACAAGAATGGTTCAATATCTTGAAAGTGTACACAAGGGAGAAATGCATTCAGGCACTCTAGATGAAGTACAATCTTGTGTCAAGGAGAATTCAAAGAATTCAGACTACTCTGATCCTACTAAGACTATGCCTGAAGCACCACCTGCTTTGTGCAAGCATGAAAAGACAACCAATACAGATAACATCTTCACCAACTGTACAGCTTCTGAATTATGGTGGAAGAAATTCAATGAGACAACTGATGACATTCTCTCCCATTCCAACTATCATGACTGTCGCCGAACATCTGAAGACGGCAGTGGGCGCACAATCAGAAAGGGATGTCTTAATAAACATGGTCAATGTCGTGCCCGCTTTCCTCAAGATGTCATTCCAGAGACTATGGTTGATCCATTGAGTGGAGCGCTGAAGATGAAAAAGGGTGAAGCATGGATGAATACTTTCACTCCTATCCTTAGCTATCTTTTTCGCTCCAACACCGATGTTACAAGTCTCCTATCTGGAACAGCTGTTAAAGCAATTGTTGCCTATGTAACAGACTATGTAGCAAAACCTGGACTGACGACCTATTCTGTATTTGATACGGTACATCAAATCTACGCTTGTAATAGTGAGCTTATTGGTGGCTCACTGGACCGCCGAGAAATAGCAAGATCACTCATGACAAAGATGGTGAATCATTTAACAGCAAAAATGGAGATAGGAAGTCCTATGGCTTCTCTGTACCTGCTTTGAAATCCTGATCACTATACTCAGCACAAATTTGAGAATGTCTACTGAAAGGCTTATGTTTGAGAGGTGTGAAAGATATGGGAAGCAGAAGCAGAAGATGAGAAACAGGAGCGGATCATCCTCAATCAAAACTTGGGAAAATATGTAGGTCTCTCCAAAGTCCAAGACTATATCTATCGGCCTACACAATACCAAGATATTAGCCTATATGAGTGGATTTGACGTGTCAAAAAGTCAAAGAGAACACCCAAGGAAAAGAAAGTGTTTCTTCAGAAATTATCATTTCAGGCATCAGATGATTTAGCTGGTTCTGAAAGTGAGGATGAGCTGAACATTGTAGACTCTGTAGGTGGTGGAAAATCCAATGAGACTGAACTCAATATCATTGACAAGCCTTTGAATGAAAGTTGCAATGGAAAGAAATTTTCATTCCTCCCTCAACATCCACAGTATAAGACACATCAAGTGATGCTTGTGAAGGATGATCCTCTTGTAGTTCCAAATTTTCTAGGTGGAACACTTCCAAGAAGCAA